TCCTGTTTTCTGAACGCGGTGGGAGAAGAACAGAAGGGCCAACCCAGGCAGGACGTGACAAAGCAAACATGAAACCTCCTCTCCAAAGTCTTCTTTGTAAATTCAGTGCAAGGTCTCCCACGCTGGAAGACAGCCAGTGTGTTCCCACAGCATTCCCTTTTGTGCCATGAAAGACCAAAGAAACGAGGATGTGGCCACCTGGCATCAAGGACGTGAGATGGAAGAGAGCTCAGCACTTTGCTCACTCCTTGTGAGCACAAACCACAGCCCCAGTCCCCGTTTCACTGGGAATCCACATGGCAGCAGCATCCAGGAATGGAAATAAATCATTCCTTTTGCTTGTAACATGACTGTGCTGTATGAAAATTTAAGTATTTTTTGAATTTATAACTTATTCATTATCAATCACAACACTGCCCCTGGAGTGAGACAGGTAGGAAGTCTCTGCTGAGAAGTTTTTCCCCAAAAAGTCTAGTTCTTGTCTCTTGATTGTTGTTTCGTTTTCCCTTCTGTACAGGATAATGAAGAAAAAAACCACTAAGTTTGGAGCTGATCATTCTATTCTGGTTGTCTGAGCAAACATTAAATAAAATCTTATAACCATGGAGGGTTCACAGGAGCAGGAATTCAGCATTCCAGCTGCACAGCCTAAACCTCCTGAGCAGTGAGGTTACTATTCCTCAAGAAAATACTGAATTTGAAACATGCTTGTTACAGCAGGTGGCTAAAGAGGAGTAAAACAGCTTTTAAGGACTATTGCAATTATTTTATGTGTAAGCAAAAACAAAATTAAAACCCCCAAAACACTAAAACCCAACCAGCAAAACCCCAAATCCACAGTTTTCATCATTTAATGGGCTCTGTGTGAAGGCAGGCACAGGAAGGAAAGGGATGCATGGAAGTTTGTGCAGCAGTGACCCACTTGCTCTCCGTGGTGTGTTCTGCAGTTCCATGGACAGCACATGGACCATCTCCCCTCGTGCCTGTTGGCTGCAGTCCAGAGCAGGAGCTTCCACTTCCCCATGCTCAGCTAAAGGGCTTATAGCTCATGTTTGCTTTTCATTTAACATCCTCTGTGAGGTTTTATTTGGTTTGGAGGTGCCCTGTGGCGCTTCTGTATTTATATTCAGAGCATTTTTGAAACCAACTGGAAGAGACCTGTCTTGTGCACTCACAACTTCAGTTTTGTGTCCTATTTCCCCTCGTTCATTGTGGGATCCATTTGTCTTTTGCTTGATTTTTGTGCATGGGGCTTTATTCCACCAAACCAAATGTTCTGCTCACTAAGGTAAGGGATTATTTAGGAAGCCCAACCAAGGTCATCTCCCTGCTCTAAAAACACTGCGTGGCCTTGGTCACCAAACTGTTGTGACAGGATAAGGGGGATTGGTTTTAAATTAAAAGAGGGTTGATTTAGGTTAGATGCAAGGAATAAATTCACTGTGAGGGTGGGGAAGCCCTGGCACAGGTTGCTCAGAGAAGCTGTGGCTGCCCCATCCCTGGAAGTGTCCAAGGCCAGGTTGGACAGGGCTTGGAGCAACCTGGGCTGGTGGAAGGTGTCCCTGCCCATGGCAGGGGGTGGGACTGGATGGGCTTTAAGGTCCCTTCCCACCCAAACCACTCCATGATAAGCTCATTTGAACACCTACACTTTCCATTTTAACACTCAGGAGACAGTGATTGGCTTTTATCACGAGCAAACAGGCCCAACACCAGCGTTGCAGGAGTTGTTTTTAATTAATTAGAGAGATGGAAAACTTCCCAAAATCGGTTCTGGCACTCCGGATCTGAGAGAGGCAGCTTGGCACTGCTGGGAAAGACAAACAGCAAGGTGACTGATGGAAGGAAGGAGCTATCTGGGGCTGGAGCTCCTCAGGTCCTGCTCCCCAGGACCTCTGCAGGAGGGTGGAGAGGACAAACCCCTGCCAGCACAGGATGCCACCCCTCTTGCTCAGATCTCAGGTGCAAAAGTGCAGAGTTGGAGGTCAGGGATGCTGAAATCAAGCAGTTCATACACATTTTTAACACACTGGGACAGATTTACTGCCCTGCTCTGTTGGCTTAGCCCACAGGACGGACACAGCTCCTCCTGGGCCATCAGTTCATCTCTCCACCAAAACAGGGAGGTTCGTGGCCAAGAAGTGAATTCTCAGGACAAGTGACACCAAGGTTTCATCAGGGTGTTTTATGTGCCCCTGACACTGCACAGAGAGAGAGGGACAAGGACATCTCTGCCTGTCTCATGCCATTGTGACACCTGGGGAAGCCTGGGCAGGTGCTCCAGCCAGGACACAGGAGAAATGAAGAGAAATGGTTGAAGAAAGCGTGTCATCAATACATGGGATGGTCTGTGCAAGAGCTTCCATCGAGGGTGGAGAATGCCTGGGAGCTGTCAGGACACAGTGGTGTGGATCAGGAGCTGTGCTTAGACCAGCTCCCTCCTGTCTCCCCTTGCATACCAAACTGCACACAGAAACTATTAAAACCTTGTCTGGGATTATCCTGTAAAGCTTATTTACTCCCATACAGCCAAATATTTATTTACTTTACTTATTAGCAGTGTTTACTCATCAGCTCTACTTTCTGAGCAACCTCAAACCTCCATTTGTTTCAGTCTTTACAGAAGCATCATCTGTCACAAGCTGCTTCCTCACTCTGCCCCTTTTCCACCCCTCAGCTGCATTTTCCACCATGCAAGGTCATCTTTAGTTGTATGAGAGGAGAATAAAATGAGCTTTCCAGTTTCTGCAGAACTCCCCCCCCCAACAGACAAAGCAGTGAGAAAAGTAGGAAATAAATTGGAAAAATATATTGGAAAAATATCCCAGCCACAGCCTTCATTCCAAGAGTACCCCTGGGGTGAACTGAAATTCTGATGTCCACCAACCAAGTGAAAATTAACCTTGGAATCTTCATCCACAATGCCAAGGTCTCTGGTTTTAAAGAGATACCAGAGGGAGAGCAAGCACAAGAGGATACGGTTCAGTCAGACCACTTCACTTCCAAAGTGCTTCTTCGGCCAACACCAATAAAATCTGAAGAAAAATATAAATAAACGAAGGGTATTTTTCACTGCAAAGTGCTTGCTAAGTGTAGAAAGAGTAAGAGAATAATCTGCTGCTTGATGCACATCACCAAGCCTGAAATTCCAAAGTTCTACCCAGCAGTGTTTTTTGGGTTAGACAGGGACACCATCCCTTCCCCAAACACCCTTCTGCTGACAGAGTGGGACGTTGTCCAGAAATGTCCTTTCATCCCTGCTAATCAATTCCTCTGCTTTATCTGCAGGGAACATTGTTTTATTTTTAAGCCCAAATATTTTTAAAGTAAGTGTCTCAAAGTGCTGCTCTCTAAACCTCTGCAGTTATTCCATAGGAGAAAGCCTAAGGACAACAGCTATGAATGGCAACATAAAGATTTTCCTTTAATGTAGCACTAGCTTATGGAAAGCTTTCAATTAATGCAAGCTAATTAGAAATAAGCAATTTCCTTTAAGTTGCTCCAATACCCATGAAGTTTCTCACGGGCTTCGATAGCGTTTTCTGCAGGACAACAGTTTATTCCTAATCCTGGCTCATTAAAGGGCTTTAAAGATGTTCTTATCATAATTTTCCATGTGTTGCACATGATTGCTGTGGAGTATTGTTTTCACAGTGACAATGCTCCAATCCAGAGCAGTCCCACCATGCTGGATGCTGTCCCAACACTAATCCCAGCTCCAAAGAGTTTGTGATAATCTCAGGCCAGCGAGCCCTGTGACAAAAAAAAAGGGGATGAGAAGACAATGATGGAGGGATAAGCACTTTATATCCAAGAAGGATGCTCAGAAAATATAATTCATGCTATGAAATTAATGAGATGAATACATGAAATTAATTTCCAGCACATATTTTTGATTGCAAAGTATTTTCCAGTCCATTTTACATAACTGCAAAAGTCTGTTAACACTCAGCACCAATTGGTGTCGACCTTTCCCACACTTGGGTTGGGTATTGGGAAGGAATTCTTTCCTCTGAGGGTTGGTGAGGCCCTGGCACAGGTTGCCCAGAGAAGCTGTGGCTGCCCCATCCCTGGAAGTGTCCAAGGCCAGGTAGGACAGGGCTTGGAGCACCCTGGGTTGGTGGAAGGTGTCCCTGCCCATGGCAGGGGGTGGGACTGGATGGGCTTTGAGGTCCCTTCCAGCCCAAACCCTTTTGGGATTCTCTGATCTGCTCCAGAACAGGCCCAATCCTCTGTGCTGGCACTGCCCCATCCTGTTGCAGACACACCCAAACACTCATCATTAATTTAAGACCAATTTATTCAGTTCCTAAAGAAAAGCTGTCCATGATACCAGATATGCAGTAGTGTCTTTTCATTCTAAAATTTAATATTTTAAAAAGTCATCATAGAATCCTAGAACCGACAGATAAAAATACCCTTCCCACCCTTCCCTAAATATTTTTCTCATCCATGCCCACTTTGTCACCAAAGTCACCTGGCAGATTTGTGGTGGCAGAAACCTCAGCTTTAAGTCCATTTATAAAAGGAAACTCCCAGGCATCACTGAGTTTTTAATTATATTTATGCTACAACAAAGTTCCCTTTTTCAAAGTCAACAGAAAGTTATGAGCATTATTTGGTAAGAACAAGCATAGGAGGATTCATCACTGAAGGAGATGGGTCTGGATAATTATCCAAGTCCACCAGAGGAACTCCATGATTTGAATTATACTGGTCATTACCAATTGTGACAATAAGTAGATACACATTTTGGATAGGAACTCAGGAGAGAAATTGATTCAGGGTTTTGTTAAAATGTCAGTGCATTTCAGTCCTATCTATTGATCTCAGGTTTGTGGGGCTGCTTTTTAATTTATTTTCCTTCTATTTTTCCATATTAATCAGATGGCAAATGCAAATGCATGTGCAGAGTTACAGCAGCAAATTCACCAGCCAAAAAATTCCTAAGCAAAAGTTCTTTTATTTCAGTTTCAAGAAGTAGGATGCTGTGAGTTTATAAACAATAAAAAAAAAAAAAAAAGAAGATTGAAAACTTTGTGATGTGAGACACTTTTAAATGAAAACACATTAAATTATTTACTGTGGTAAAATAAGTATTTAATGGAGAAACATTTAAAATTTAATTGACTGCTGAGATTATTGGGTGAATTATGTGAGGCACCCACACGATGTACAGATTTCTCTTGTAATTGGAAACACTCAGAAAAGCATTTTTATAAATCTATTTTGAAACAGACAAACAAACAAACAGATAATGCAAGGTTTGTTGTAAAACGTTCTACCATATTACACAAGTCACTGGAGAAAACTAAACCTGCATAATTTAGGGAGGAGGGAAAGATGAGAAGGGCAGTGTTTAAATCTGAGAGCTATGTCTGAAAGTTCTCTTCTCTTCTCTTCTCTTCTCTTCTCTTCTCTTCTCTTCTCTTCTCTTCTCTTCTCTTCTCTTCTCTTCTCTTCTCTTCTCTTCTCTTCTCTTCTCTTCTCTTCTCTTCTCTTCTCTTCTCTTCTCTTCTCTTCTCTTCTCTTCTCTTCTCTTCTCTTTTTTTTTTTTTTTTCTCTTCTCTCCTCCTTTTCATCTTATATTTACTATCTCTTCCCACATGGAGTCACCAGCCATGGCTTTCTTTGAATGGCAGAGTGGATTCCAAAGGGCACTGAACTGTCATGGAGAGATCCTGCTGGTCTCTGGTCTGGTCTCTGATAATTCCCCAGAGCAATCTCATTCCATGGGATTCAGCACATTTTTTTGTTCTTCCCCATGTGAAATGGCTCCCACCAGGTCACCACAGCAGTGCTTTACGAGTGGAAATCCTCCACCTCACAATTCCTCTGCAAAATGATGAGAAATCACATCAAGCTTTCCAAAACACGACTCTGTAGTCATGTACTGATGAAAAACCTTCTGGGAAGCACCAGCTGAGTCAGCCACTACATGATCCTTCCAGACTATTTCTAGTTTATTTATAACACTTGACCAAATATTGCTAATATTAGACATTGCCCAACAATGTCTCAAACTGCCACTCTGCTCCACCAGCCACACACATCCTTTTGCAGCCAATCACATTTGTGCATGTTTGTAAAAAACCAACAACTTCTCTGTGTTATTTTTGAATTGTTGTGAATTTATTTTGGATTTGCTGTGGAGCTGGAGTAGGGCGATAATAAATCTTTTCATCACAGCACAAATTTAATTGACGTTTCCATCTATTTAGGGATTTTTCAAAAGTGGGTTTTTTTTTAAAAAATACAGAATGTTTAATACAGTCACTTTTTTAAAAAAAGATAATTTTGGTGCACAGTTAAACTTATGATCTGTGCACAGTGTGAAAATGACACTATTCTAGAAATTCCCTTTTCTTTCTTTTATACCTCCATGGAAGACAACAAAAGGAAACCTCATTCTGAGCAATTAAAGGCTTTCAACTGCAATCACGTTGCAAATAGCCCAGCAACACGTACCACAAATGAAATTATTCCTCAGGACCCGAAGCAACAATGTGTTATTACCCTCAAAACGAGTGTATTGGAATAATTTGTAAATATGAGTGGGAATTCCAGATTTGTGGCAAAAAAAACCCCACCATGGCCCATGTCAAACACCTTCCAGAATTTCAGATATGTGATGTCCACACCCCTTCTCTTGTCCACACATGTAGAAGACCAACAACCTGGTCTGGTTGAAGATGTCCCTGCTTGTTGCAGGGGGATTGGACTGGATGGCCTTTAATGGTCCCTTCCAACCCAAACCATTCTATGATTCTATGATCTAGACTGAAATCTGCACCTCAGGATTTGAGATCTTTCCTTCAAGTCTTCTTGTCTGTCAAAAAGAAAAGATATTGCAAAATGTTGCCTCCCTTAATGTTAAAAAAAGCGCCACACTGGAGCTCTATAATCCACACTGAACTTTTCTGTTAAATTTAGTAATTAAGTTTAGTCTCAGCTGAGAATCAGTATGGCAGATTTCAGCCTGAAGTGAAAATAAATGGTTGAATTATAAATCCCTAAAAATAGAAATTCCGATTGCAATCACTGGCACAACCTTCATTTGGGCCCCTGTAGTATTATAAAAGACATTTAGTAAACAACAAGGTGGGTAATGATGCAGGGAGTGTTTTCATACAGCACTTAGAGACAACTCACTACACATAATTAGAGCATTACTGGAGTCATCAATGACTAGAACATCTGATAGAGAAATGTCACCTGCCTCAAAATATGGGAGTGATTCTGGCTGCTTTATGTGCAAAAGCTTTAAAAAGCAGAGAGAGAAGACGACAGAAACAAAGCTAATGACGGTTCGTGTCTTGTTGTTTTGAAGCAGCACAGAATCCCAGAACCACAGGATGTGCTGAGCTGGAAGGGACCCACAAGGATCATCCAGTCCAACCCTCAGCCCTGCACAGGACCATCCCCAAGAGTCACACCCTGTGCCTCAGAGGATCATCCAAACACTCCTTGAGCTCTGTCAGCCTTGGTGCTGTGACCTGGGGAGCCTGTGTGTCCAATCACCCTCTGGGGGAAGAACCTTTCCCTGACATCCAACCTAACCCTGCCCTGGCACAACTCCAGGCCATTCCCTGGGGTCCTGCCCCTGGTCCCCACAGAGCAGAGCTCAGGGCCTGCCCCTCCTCTGCCCCTGCCCAGGCAGCTGGAACTGCAGTGAGGTCTCCCCTCAGTCTCCTCTTCTCCAGCTGAACACACCAAGTGCCCTCAGTGTCCTCACACGGCTTCAAATCAAGGCCCTTCACCACCTTTGTTGTCCTCCCTTGGACTCTCATTTGGAAGTGAAATTGTTTATCCTCCAGTGTCATTTGCTGAGCTTTGTAACAAGCTCCTGTGGGGGTTAATAAACCAACCAAAGTGTTGTGTCCATCCATAAGGAAATGTCTTGGATTATATAAAGTCCGGGCTGCCTGGGATTGAAAGGTGAGCAATGGAAGTTGGACTCATTTCACCCCAGGCTGACCATCCACACAGTGACCATGTTTGTGCTGCTTGTGCATGAGCTGGAAAGCCTGGAGCTTCTACCACCAATCAATTCCAATACAGTTGGAAAAGCCTGTGTCAGCCTCTTGTCTTGGGCTGCTCTGGAGCTGCTCACCCAAAATGTGCTATTTATGGAGTTCCCTACACAGACAGCTGTGTCTGAGTGCTGAGATCAGCACAGCACCATTTCCATGGGTTTTCAATCATTCATGAAGGCAACAGGAACTCGGCAAGCAGAGGAGCATTGGTGATGTGGAACTACAACCCTCAGATAAATAACTCATTGAGTGAGTAGTGAATAGCTCCAGCTCTACAGGATCTTTGGCAGTAATGGCAGGACTCCAATTATTTGGGGTTTTGTTGGGGAAAAATGGCATTTTCTACCCTCAAAAAATAACTTACCAGTGGGGTTGGACTAGAGTATCTCCAGAGATCCCTTCCAACCCTAACTATGCTGTGGTTCTTCTTTTACACTTGGGAATATTCAGTGTGCACCCACAGGAATTTCTTCTTGCCCTAATTCTCTTCGGTATTTTCATTTATGACTTGGATGTAAAAATTTTAATGTCACAAAATATAAAAGAACTCAAACAAACAGAATGAAGATTACTGCAGGGAAGGGAGAAAAAAAAACATTCAGAAAGGTGAAATCCAGGTGGGCAGTAGCTTTCCATGCAGTGACACTTCAAGACTTACTGGAAGAGGGAGGATATGAAATATGAGCCAGGATTGTGAGTGCCACAAAAGAGATGTTTAAGAGATAATTTAAGAGATAATTAAGAAAGGTCAGGGATGAGCTGTAGGGGTTGGAGTACAGCATGGACACCTAACAGACCTCCAAAAAAACATGCCTTTTGTGAAAAAAGTTGAAAGATTTGATTTTGTTTAATATAAGAGATGACTGAGGGAGGCTGTTTCAGGGGCATAAACCACCAACCAGTTCTTGTCTGTTGACAATGAGGCAAAATGAGACCAACTCAATGGTAACAAGAGACATGTTAAGAATTCCCAATTGATCTTCCAGGATCTGTCTAGACAGACCAGACCTCCTCATTTCCAGTCCTGAGCACTGCCTTTGGCTGCTGCCACAGCAGGATGGTTGCCTAACTCGGTATTCAGAAGAATGTGTTTTTGCTTGGAGGCAACACAAGACCTGGGGCTGAACCATCTCTGGAGTCTCTTCCAGCTTTTCTTTTGGAGGATTTTATTTTTCTGACTCAGAGCATCAACCCCCCCATATTGTTCATTTATTGCTGTTGTGTGTCAGGCAGGAGTCACTTGGGAGAAGCAGCAGAAACCTCTTCTGAAGCACGACGTGTGTGATGACACATGGAAGTTCTGCAGCCTCTCCTGGCCTGGATTAGAAAGACACAATGGAAATACACCCTCTCTGTTTAGTCACTGGGAAACAAGTGGTTTCACAAGCCTGTGTTTTCCATTCTTCTTGTTATTTTCCCCCCTCAGGGTAGTTCTTTCCCTCTTCTAAAGGCTCATGTTACCATGGGAAACAGGACAGAAGCCAGTGGGGGCTGTTAGCCTGGGAGATCTGGAATGATGTCTGAAGGGAAAACATTTTCATTCCTAAGGTATCATTTTAAGGTGCTGCTCCAAAGCCCAATGTAGTCTATTCATTAGAGAAATGTGTAAGAGTTTGCTGATTACTCCTGTATTAACAAACTCCTGCAATGAGAACACAAAGGACACACCGAAGAACACAGAAATAGCTCCTTTGAAGACTGAAAGAGCTGAGTTTATTAACAGTGGAGAAAACCTTTGACTGAGTCAACACACAGCATTTTTCAAAGTGTTTGGTTCATGCAATTCAGAAGTCGATTCACTGTGAGAATATTTGTTCTGGACCTGTCAGGAATTTTTTGTAGGAGTAACAGCTCTCTTTGGAGAAGCCTCTGCTAAACACTACTGTCATTTCTGCTGCTTGTCAGGTGGGCTTTTAGCCCATCATTTTTTCTAAATGTGGAGATATATTCTTGTTCTGCCTTTAAAATTGACCAGGTATCCATAAGGAGGACTTGGGACTCACTCATAACCTGATGCTCAGCTGGTAATCTGCTAAACTACAACACAAACCATCAGTGAACACTGCTTTGTTTTCAATTTTGTATGAACAACCTTCAGAAAGCTTCACAACTGTGTAATGTATGCAAACATCTTTTAAGAGAGGCTGTTTCATCTTTTATTCTATTAATTCCTTTATCAAAGGGGAATAGGAGCCTATGGGTTTATTTACATTTTATCAGCAAGCAAAACATTGCAATCTGAAATAATCCCGAGCAGAAATCTGCCAATAACATTGGGAAAGCAGCTTTTCTTGCAGGTGTTAATGTGCTGAATCAGAAGTCAAGCCTCAGAAACAACTGAGAGAAAATAAAGATATTTGTAATGCCTGACACACCACAATTTTCATTTTTCCAAGAGGAACACTCTAAATCTTCCCTTAAAGTGTCTGTTTGAATTTGACTGAAGGTCAACATCTTCTCTGTGTAAAATGAAAAGTATCCAATTACCCTGTCCATCAGGGAGTTAACGTGAGGACAGTTAATGAGATCTGCAGAGAAACATGAATATTAAACAGTCCATATTGCACCACTCGTGTTGCTGCCCCGGGGATCTGATCCAAAGTCTGCTGGGATCAATTGGAGGATCAACACACTCAACCCAAAAGGGGGTTCAGCCCCATATACAGGGATGCTTTCTGGGCAGACTGAGAGTGAAGTGAAGGGTTGGAGGTGGCTGCACCAGCCCCGAGCACCATTCCCAGCCCAGACGAGCAGCTCCAGCCAGGATGTGTCCTCCTGGGCCACACCAGCTTTTCTGTA